CGCTGGCATTGGTACGTGCCCAATGTAGGAATGGTAGAACCCACCTCCCCCCCCTCAAAGCAGCAATGGTACAAGCCATTTCCCCTCCTTTGGAATGCCTATGACGCCTTTTCCTCTCCTTTCCAACCCCCCACTCAGCTAGCCTTAGTATGCTCCATTCACCCCCTCATCACACGATTGGTATGGCCCATTTCCCCCTGAAAGTTCCATTCCCCATCATAGTGGCATTGGTATACCCCCCCTGCAGAGCAGCACTTTGGTTTGATCCACTTCCTGCCCTTCCCCCCCTTCCCCTTTCCGTTCCCTGCCTTGACCTTTGCTTGCTGAGGTCACTGCTGCAGGGCACAGGGCCGGGGGACGCCCTCCCAGAGCCTCTGCTGCTCTGTGTGTGCACCCAGGGGCAGGAATAGGGATGGGGGTGGAGCTCTGATAGGGATTCCCATTAGGCCCCATGCTCCCTGCTGCTCTGTGCGTGTCCCCAGGGGCAGGGATAGGGACCTGGGTGGGGATCTGTCCCATTAGGCCTCAGTTTGATGCCCAGTGCATGAAAGGCACAGGCACAGCACCACATGTGCAGCTCTCCTGTGTCCATGGAGGGGTTGCAATAAGAGAACAGAGCTCGAAAGGAGCCAAGAAGCACTGTGGATGCGAGCGGGGAAGGGGGGCTACCTCGCCTGGAGTGCGGGAAGTGAACACTAGCGGTATCACAGGTTGCAAGGAGTCTGGATCCTGCTGCCCTCAGTGATGTAACAACGGGGTTACTCCTGTCCTGCGCCGGTGTAACAGTTTGTCCCTGCAGCCCTGAAAGCTGAGCTCTTGAATACAGAAATATAAATCCCATTATGCAGGGGAAGGAACTGCATTGCTCAAGGCCAGATGCCGAGTCATGGGGACAGTCAAGAATCCAGTCCAGATGTCCCAACGCCTCAGCTGCAGACTGGAAATCCTTAAGGCCGGCTGTTGCCAAACTAGGGGTCATGACCCCAAATGGGTTCGTAGCCCTTGCCAGTGGGATTATGAACCACACAGATTATTACCCTGGCTGCACTCGGCCCAGAAGGGCGGTTAGTTTGTGGTTTTGAGCCTGCCAGAAAGTGGGTTTGAAGTCCTGACTCCAAAAAGATCGGGACCCATTGTCATCCCTTTGGGCAGGGACCTGGATATTCTTTCGAACCTGACTGGTAACGTGTGCAGCGCCTGCTGTACTGTACACGTAAGAAAAGTGTAGGTCGGTCGTTCTCAACCTTTTCAGATTCGAGGCACCTCTCGTTAGACTTGAGGCCCCTCAGAAAATGCTAGCTCATAGTTTGTGCTCATCTTTTGACTACAGACAAATAATAGAGCAATTATTTGCAAAGAGCTCAGAAAGATCACAGCAGGTCAGAATGCTTTTAAAACTATGAAGTCCTGTTTGAAATCTCTAAACTGGTCTTGTGAATCAGGTCTGGACACCTAGCTGTGCTAATGCTCTGCGGCACCCTTGAACGGATCTCAAGGCACCCTGGCTGGGAATCACAAGTGTAGGTGAAGATGGAGGTGGCCGTTATATGCCGCAACCAACTGATGGAGGGAGCACAAGTTAACTTGTTTCTGGAAGTTGGGCTCCCAGCATAAGATGGGGGTTACCTGGGAGGACTTGCTTCACCTGAGATGCTACGAACTTTGTGTTCTTTCCTCCCCCATCCAGCTAATTTGTCAGCTGTGTAGAAATGGGAGTTCTGGATTCCTGCCTGCAAAAAAAACCCCTGGAAATAAAACTGGGAGCCTCTCGGGTAAAGTGGAAAAACGAGAATGATGTGATGAGCCCAGCCCATGGCAGGAAAATACCGAGCATGACAGAAAGATTAGCATGACTCCATATCTGCTGCTGAAATTCTGCCAGACAGAGGAGAGGAGAATCATTTAGTCTTTTAAGTTTTAGGTGCTAGAAGTGGGTCACCATGCGACTATGATGCCCGGAGTGGTAATGACAGAGAAAGCTGGGCTATCAGCCTAAGTATTCCCCTCTGTTAGGAGAGCACAGGAAACAAACCAGGAATATAAGGAGCCAGGATTTGAACAGAGCAATATGCAAAAGGCTATGGGGTTATTTTCAAGGACGATGAAATTTTGTAATGACTTCCACACTCATTTAGAGATAATGTCTTAGAAGAAGAACTACCTTCCTGTGGGAACCAACCTTGCAGGACTGAGAGACGGAGAGAAAGAGAGGACCCACACCAGAGGCAGGGAAGTCGACCTCACCACACCCTCTGCAGTTGAGAGTGGTGCAAAGATATCTGCCTCTCTGGCTCCCTTCTTGTATATGAAAACATCACATTCATCTTGCAGTAATCATCTTCTCAGAAACACTTGCTCATCAAACTTTGTGCATCTCCTGCTTGCTTCTTCCAGCTCAGAGACAGCATTGCCTCTCCATCAGGGCAGCATTTCACAGATGGCCCTGGGGATGTATTCAGCTGGTTCACAACCAACAGGCCAAAGGCATGTGTCTGAATGAGTCGGTTTAGTGGTACTGTTACAAAGCATCAGAACAACTGTCCTGGAGAATGAACTCCCTTTTATTATTCACAGAACAGGGCCACGGTAGGCAGCAGCAGAGCAATTAAAAAGATTCTGGGCCCGTCAGCTAACACGGTTATTTTCGTTACACAGGACAGCAAGGGAAGAATCCAGGACATCCTGAATCCAGGACATCTGATTCCAAAAACACAGTGTCTGAGAGAAATTCCAGCTCAGGTGGTTGCATCCTGCTTCCATTAAACAATTTCGGTTGGAGATGCTGTTCCTCAATGCCTGTCTGAGGATATGTGATGCCACCTTGTGCTCTTAACCACGTTGCATCCAAAAAATAGCTGCGGTTTAGAAACATTTTTTGGCAGGAGAGAGGTCGCAGAATGTCTTTGAATGCAGAGACATATGTGAAACACATGCTCTTAAAGCAGATCCATTCTGTTCAGTAATTTTGGAGGCCTTACTGTAGAGGAAGGCATTGTCATGATTGATAATTGAAACAAGAAGTCAGTTCTTAAAAGCTGTAGTCAAAGCCGCAGCTTTTTGCATTCATTGAAATACAGTCATTGTATTCCTTGCCCATCTCCCAGCAGGTGTCATACATAATGTCGGTTGAGATCCCACGTGCAGAGAATATAAGGGCAGGTAAGAGGGGCATTTCTTTGTCTGAAGTTAAATACATACTGTTCTTTACCTGCTGCTCTTAGAGGCATCTTTATGTGTCGGCAGCACATCTAGCATGCAGGCGAGATCAGGAGGAAACTGGCAGTGCTGTAACCTGTGATAAAAAACATGAAACCACATGTTAGCCAACACAAGATGATTGCAGCACAAAAGCCAAATACAACATAATGGTCACTGTTGGGAGAAAATCTTGCCAGGGAGGAAGAAAAAACAAATGACTGTGAACCCTGGAGAAAATCATGGTTTATGTTGCTTACCAAACAAAGCAATTTGATTTGTGCTAGAAGTCAGCAGCTAGCAATTACGGGAGATGGAGAGCACGGGAAAAGAGCAGGGTACAAAGAGGATGCAGAAGCTTGCCAGGTGCTTTTCTCAGCTCATAAGCAGACTGTGGAGATACATTGATAGAGTAAACAACAGCGAGGGGAAGAATTATTTAGGGTGGTACAAGTGTGGTATAACACTGGCCCCGACTATCCCCCAGCTGTGGGATTTGCCACAAAATCCAATCCTTGCTGCGGCAATCTCTGTTTCCTTTCAACAATTTCTGCTAACAGCTGTGGTTGCAAAGGAAACCTTGAAAACACGACCCCAATGGAACTGGTCCACATTTACCTGCCTGAGTCTGCAGGGAGCTTGAAGCACTAGTGCTGAATGATAGGAAAAGTCTGGCTCAGAAGGAAAGAATAAAGGTGTGAGGGGGCTGAGGGCTGATCTAATACCCACTGATGCTTCTGTTGGTTTTGTTTGACTTCAGCTCAAGCCTCAGATTCTCCTCTGCTTTACTGTAGCATAATCCTGTGAGAGGTAAGTGAGGTATGTAGGTCCCTTTCTGGCTCAGGGTACTGACATCCTTATAAGAAATGGATACAGGAAAAAGTGTTAAAGAAAAAACAAAATATGATGTACCCTGGGAATGCAAATAGTTCTCCAGCCTGATGCTGGCCGGCTGCAAGCAGAGAGGGGAGAAGACTGGAGAAGCTCCTGGGGGCATGGGTAGGGACGTGCAAAGGAGAGAACAGGTTAAATAGCCAGTAGCCGGCTTCATGGGGCAGGTGCCTCCAGAGAAGAGGAAATGAGAGATGAATGACCCATTGATCTGCTTCCTGGTAGGGGGGTAGTGCTCCGGATCTAAGTGACTCAGAGCTAGCGCTCAGCAGAACCCTGCCCTTGCCCACGTCGCTGGCTGAGAGTCACGTCGAACCAGGAAGAGACACCTCGGAGTTTGACGAAGGGCTCCAGTCTTGGCCACGTGGCATTAACAAGGCAGATTTCCCCCCCCCCAATCAAAGCAATCACGCTGCGTGCTTCCCTCCCTGCCATCATGTGGACATATAGCTCTGGGCATGGGATCAGGAAGCACATTGCCTCAGGAATGGTATTTGTATAATAGGGCAATAATATCCACCTCCCAGGATGTTGCCAGGCTTCATTAATCAGTGCACATGAAGCAAAGTACGAGGGTGCCTCTCTGGAGCACGTGGCTTTTGCACCACTTAAAACTCACACAAGCCTTGTTTGGTGGTACAGGAGATCAGATGATGCCCATGCCCAGCAGAGAAGGTCTATTTTGCACTGGGAAATCCTTGCAGAGAAGGCATGACAAGCCAGGAAAGCTTGAAGGAGAGCATCTGTGCTGTGCCGTGTATCAGGGGATCCTGATACACGGCCTCATCATGAGAGCTGTGTGTGTTTGAGCCCTTTTTCTGACTTTCTGATCCAGGATTATGGGTTATCAGAGCAGTGAGTATGATGAAGGGATCATTAGAGCAGTGTCATAACAGTTTAGGGATGTCTGAGCAACTGGAAACAATGGAAAGCGTTAGAGCAAAGAGGGGGAATATAGGGAGCCGGCACGCTTACGGGCTTGACTTTTCCAAAAACGAGATCATTTTCTCCTTCCCAAGGTCCTGCTGCCTCTTTTGTGAGTTTTCATTGTAAGCGGAGCATGTGCTACAGCTCAGCCAGCTTCAAATACCGCACGGCCACCGCTAGAGAGCAGCGCAGCCCAGCCTTCCACGTACAGGGCCGGGAGCAGGCCAGTCTCGCCCCGTATTTAGCAACAGCGCAGAAGGCATCAGCTCATGCCAAGGCCTCTGAGACTCAAAACCTTAGAGCCCCAGAGGTGGATATTTATCAGGCTATGATAATGAATGCCTTTGATCTGATGTCACAAGCCGTCGCTTTCTTTTCTTTTCTTTTTTTTTTTTTTTTGGACTATGGAGATTTAAAAAAGGGGGCATGTGAAGGAGAAAGAGGTGGGACCCCATTAGTGACAACCCGTCCCGTCCCCTCCCAGAATCCCCACCACTCCTGGCTTGACCCAGCGAAGTGGGCGGCTACATTCAAATTGCCAAGGAGAAGGCTGGAACAAGAGCTCTTCTGTTCTCCAAGCCAGCATGAAAACCCCCCTCCGGGCCTCTTCGCTGGGCGCAGCCTGGCAGCTCTGCGCTCCGCAGCGCACAGTGTCTAGCTCTGAAACCAAACAAAGGCAGCTTCTTGGAAAGCCGGCTGATTAATGATCCCATCATCCCAATCTCAGGGGATAATTGCAATAATGCAGAAGCCAGCCCATCCATTCCGGCTGCTTTCTGCTTCCTTATTCGACCCACGTAGGAAGGGGCAGAGGGAGCGGGGAAGGCCACGCGCTCAATCCTGAAACCAACCTGCTTCCCGTTTCCACCCAGAGGAAAAGCCTCTCCACGTGGCAGCTTTGCCCTGGAGGTTGCCTAGCACTGCCTGGCTGAACGCCACAGTCATGGAAACAACCGATTCTTAATTATTATTGCTTTGCATTTCAGTAACACCCAGATGCTCCATCCAAGGTCAGGGCTCTTTTTTCTGCTGTACAAATGCATAAGAGACTTGTAGCCTCACAGAGCTTGCAATCTCAATAGATCCGACAGATAAAGGCAGACAGAAAGGTGGGAGTATTATCCCCATTTTCTAGCTGGGAAGCTGAGACAACGGAGCAACTTGGTTCGCCCGGGGAGTCTGTGGCAGACAGCCCAGATTTCCCAGTGCCAGCAAAGTCTTTGACAAGTGACCTTCCTTCCCTTAAAACTGAAACTATTTTTTTTGTCATTCCTGAGCGGGTTAAAAGCAAGTGACTAATACCAGCTGTCAGCTGCGATAGCCACATCAACGCAGCCTCAGCACAATGGTGCCAGCTGCAGTACTGCTACCCAGCAGTGTACCCAACACTGGGCCCTGCCCCACTGCCAGCTGCACGGCCTGTCCGTGGAACGTGCCTCCAGGTTTGGGGATGTACCTGCAGGGACACCCATTGCTCCTCTCCTGCAGTTCAAGGAGCACACAAAATACGGATCTCATGGAAGAGACGGACAGTGCCAGCCAGAGTTGGGCAGTAGGACCAAGAAAATGAAGAAAGGGCCGTGAAAGCTGTGAGATATGTGGATATGACTGCGTCCATGAGAATCTAAAGCAGCGGTTCTCAACCTTTTTAGACCCCAGGCACCCCTCGTTAAGACTGGAGGCCCCCCTTGGAAAGTGCCAATTCTTAATTTTCACTCGTTTGTTTGACTCCAGCTCTCCTGTTGCAAAGAACTCGGAAATACCACAACAGGGACACAATGTTTTTAACACTATGGATGCCTATTTGAAATGTCAGGATTTATCCTGTGAATCATGTTTGCACCCATAACTGTGCTAACAGTGTGTGGCACCCTGAGGCACCGCTGAAAGGATTTCAGGGCAACCCAGGGTGCCGCAACACCCTGGTCGAGCATCCCTGATCTAAAGTTACTTTTTGTTCATCAGTCCATGGCAATGAAGGCCTAGCTTTATTTTATAATTTTGCCAGCTTGGCAGCACTCCTTCCACATTTGTGGTTGGAGTCATTTTTTTTTCCAGACTGTCTTGGACAAATATAACAAAAGCAATAGGAAGGGAGAGAGAAAAGGAGAAGGAAACAAGCAGGGTGGGAAAGCTAATAGGAAACCAGGCTATTTGTATGAGAGGTGGTGGGCTGGGGAAGAGATGCACTTGTGACCTCAGAACCCCGTTCACCCCCAGCAGATGAGCTGAGCTCAATGTATCTCTGCTGCAGATCTGCAGGAGCAGTTCCCAAAAAAACTGGGTCTGACAGGATGTCTTTGGAAAATACTCCCCTAGGACCAGGCCCAGAGAAAACGTCTAACTTAGGTCTTGTTTTGCTTCTGCAGTTTTGCTCAGATGCTGGGGACCAGGAGCGGTATCAAACCTGGAGATGTTTGCACCTCAAGGATTGGGAAGAGCTCCTGGCCAGGGTGCTTTGTAAAGACAAGATTTGACAGAGGGAAGAGGGGCTGATTCACAGGTGAGTTCAGGCACCTCGTAGCTGCAGCGAGTGGGGAGGATGTGTGCAGGAGCAGGTTGTGATCATCCCAGTCAGGGTGTGAGTTAGTAATAGGTCCTCGGGAAGCCCTTGATGTGTTGCCTTCCCCAATACAAGAAATAAGGGCAGGTAAGGAATTGCTCTGCACGTAAGTTCTCCGCTGCCTGACTTGGGACAGTTTCAGTCCACTTTCTAGCATGTAGCTAGGTGGAGAATCTGGCCCAGAGGGAGGAGCACAGAAAGATGGAGAGCGACTCAGAGAAATGAAGACAACTGAGTGCAGGCAGCAAGGCTCAGGCTTCTGCTGTCTGAGCCCCAGAGGTTTCAGAAGATGTGATAGAAGCAGGCACAGAAGCTGTGTAGAAAGGAAAACCAGCAGCACTGACCGTGGAGAGGGGAGGCTGGATGCACTGGGACAGTTTCTAATCCTCTCTTCTGGTATTGAAATAGAAGGTAGAAATCCTGGGGCAACGATGACCCTTTAGCAGGAGCTGGGATGGCACGGTGGGTCCTAAACAGCCCGTGTGGTGCAAGCTAGTTCTAGGTCTTTGGGAACCTTATGCCAGTTCAAGATCACCTGTGACAGACCTCTGCCGTGTTGTGCCCCATGTGTGCACCCCATATGTGCAGGTGTGACTGGGCAGCTGGGGTGGCTAGGCAGCACGAGACAGGTGAGAAATGCAATCGGGGAAAGGCAGGCAGGGAGAAAGGGTTAATTAATAGGGAGTTGGGTGAAGTGCGTGAGAAAAACAATCTCACAGATGCGAGACTGAAGACAAGGGAGAGAGCAACTGAATCCAGGAGAGTGAGAGCAGAAAAGAGCAAAGGGCAGCAAAAGAAAGCCAGGCAGTGCTAGGCATCCAAAATTATGCCATGCTCCTAGCTATAAGAGGCTGCCCTACTGCATTGAGGTTGTGTGAGTAATGGTAGCTTAGGTGCATGGATGGGACTGTACATTTACTTGTATTGTACAAACATTAACTACTGAGTGACGGGTTTGTCCAAACAGCACATTCAGTAAAGACCCATGTGCACATTGCTGATTGTAGCCAAGTGAGAGAAGTACAGAGATCTGGGATCTGTCACCTGCTGGCATCAAAGTTTCTCCTTCATGGGCTCTTTCCCCAGCTTCTTCTATTCCAGGGGTGCTCAACCCCTAGCCTGCGAGCTAAATCCAGCCCATACAGCTGTGACGTCCTGCCCACGGGGATTTCTGCAGGTTGGAAAAAACTGGCAGCTGGGGAGCGAGGAAGCTCCATGCAGTGGGATCCAGCCTTGCCCAGGCCATTGCCGCACAGCAGGATCAGGGACAGGCCTGCCCCTTGTGTATCCGGATCTGGCTGGGCGGCTCCCTGCCCCCTCCATGCGTCCAGGTAGAGGCCGCTCCACCCCATCGGCATCCGGGTCATGGCTGGGCTGCTCTCCACTCCCACCCCTGATGTGTCTGGATCAGAACCAGGTTGCTCTCCACCCACCCCTCACCACATCCTGATCGGGACAGCTCCATTCAGCCCCCCCACACACATCCAGATGGGGACCAGGCTGCTCCTTACCCAACTGTGGATGGATCTGGGTCAGGCTGCACAGTCCCCTGGGCTAGCTGGAGTTGCTCCAGCAACCCCACGTTCTGGCTGGGTCGAGCCCACCAGCCTGCGGCCAGATATGGCACTGCCCATCTAGTCTGTGGGGTGAAAAGATTGGGCACCACTCATCTACTCCATGCTTTAGAGACCTGGTTGAAATATAGTTCAGTCCCAGCTACACCCACAAGACTCCTCCCATGAAGTCAGTCCTGCTATCAACAGAAGTCATATTGCATACAGGCAGAGTCTGAACCCAAAAGACAAGTGCAGGCTCTGGGGCTGGGGGTGTCATTTAAGACATTCGGAGATCAAGAAACTTGCCTTCCTCAAATGAGCTCTCTATGCTCCCATCACAGACTGATGGAAATAAAAATGCAGAAGACTCAGTCCCCCTACTTTAGGACATAAATGGATCTATACGTATACTATTTGTATACACTCTGGGACAATGAAATGAATCTATCACTTATAGCAGCGGTTCCCAATCTGGTATGCGTACCACCAGCGGTACGCAGACAACCTGTCAACGGGGCGTGTTACCCATGGGCGACTGGTGCCGCCTGAGTCAGGGGGGCACATGTGAGCGCGGCCTGTCAGGGGTGCACCCCGTATGCATCGCAACTAGTATTAACAGATGTATTATAATTACTTTATATGACAAAAATTTGCTGGTGGCACTTAAGGTTGCGTTGTTTTAAAATGATGGTGTGCTATCTGTCAGAGCTTGGGAACTGCAGACTTATAGGATAATTACTGCTGATGTTGGCTTGGCAGCCGAGGTCGATGCCCTCGCCGGTGGTTGAAGGAACGTGTCCGCTAATGACCACGCAGGGGCCTTCCAAGTGGAGGTCAGTCCTGCAGAGCACCCCTTGGGGGGCTTTCTGGGTGTCATCAAGATTTGCACCGAGGGATCCCCGTGTTAACCCAGCCCCCCGGGCTCCTGCACAGTGAACGCACGGGGTGGGGGCAGATTTAGAAACAGTGCACCCACGTGCTTCATGTCGCAGTATCAGCCATAGGAGGCTTGCGTGTCAAATGTGCTGCAGGCTTTCTGGCAGGGGCAGGATGGGCTCCCAGGCAAGCAAGGCCAGCCTGCTAGTGCTCAGGGAGGGGAGCATGAGGCCAGGGCTGGGCTGCTTTGCTCCAAAGATCACAGGGTCTAACTCTTACCCGCAGCCCCAAATCAGGACTCCATCCCCTTCCCCCCGCCCCCCGCCACACCATGCTGGCCAGGCCCAAGCCAGGAAAGGCCCCGCGCATGTGCAGAGCGGCAGCCAGACCATGCCCTGGGCAGGCAGAAGACGCACACGTGCGTCGAACCCCTGCAAGGGACGGGGGTGGGGGAGAGGGAGGTGCTGTAACGCGCATGCGTTTCGATTGCTCCCAGACGCTTTGTTCGCCCCAAGGCTGCGATTGCGCGTGCGCAATGCAGCCCCTCCCCGCGTGCTAGGCTTCTACGCATGCACACTGGGCCCCCTCGGTACTTTTGTTCTCGGCGGAACGAGGCAGGGCCGCTGCGCCTTTGCGCAGGCGCAATGGAAGGGGGCGCTCCTTTCCCTTTTTTGTTTCCTCCCGCTCGTTGCGCATGCGTACTCGGAGGCCCTGCGCAGCGCTTCTCAGCCGGCGCTTTGTTCTCGGCAGGCGGCCGGCGCCGCGCAGGCGCGGC